TGATGAGACATTGTATAGAGCTTTTTGAATATAAGAAAACAGTTGAAATAACTCCATTTTCTATTCCATAGCAGGCATTGGCAGACTATGTCTTTGTGAGCCAAGTGGTACTTGTTTTTTCATATGATCATGAGCAAATAATAGTTCTTGTATTTTGTTTGATTAAAATTTGAGATAATTATAGATGCACACATGGTGATAAGAAATGGAAAAATAGATAAAGGATCCTTCATCAAAATTATCTCAGTCAATTTTAGTCTCTGTGAATTTCACTCTTCTAGGTACCTCATATGAGTGAATTGTACAATATTTTACCTTTCGTTTCATTTTTTTTTCACTTAGCATAATGTATTTAAGGTTCATTCAGGCTGGAATATGTATCAGGCTTTCATTCCTTTTTAAAGACCAAATAATATTCCATTGCATGCACTTACCATATTTTGTTTATCCATTGATGAGCATTGAGTTGTTTCTACCTTTTGGCTATTGTGAATATGCTGTCCTGAACAAACATAAAAATATGCTCTTTTTCAAGCATATAAAAATATGCAGTTCATCAAACATATGAAAAATATTTGTATATCAGTAGGCTGGGGAATGTGGCTCAGTATTAGAGAGCTTGCCCAGCATGCATGAGACTCTGATTTTGATCCAAAGAAGAAGAAAGAGCAAGAAGAAGAAGAAGACAATATTTATGTATCAAAAGAATAAAAAGACAATTCACAGAATGGGAGAAAATATTTGTAAATCTGATAAGATTGATGTCCAGAAATATAAAGAATTCTTATAAACAAATAGAAATAAAATTATTTAAATATGCATAAATGATTTGAATAGACATTTCTCTAAAGAAATATTGATGATCAATAAGCACATGAAGAAAAATTCAACATAAATAATCATGTAAATCAAAAGCACAATAAAATACCACTTCCACATTTATTAGAATGACTATACCAAAAAGACAAAAAAATAAAGTATTAGCAAAGATGTAGAGAAGTTGGAATCCATGTGCACTGCTGGTGGGAATGTAAAATGGTGCAGCCATTCTGGAAAACAGTACTGTATTTCCTCAAAAAATGAAGCATAGAATTACCATATTATTCAGCAATAATTACCATAGTATTCAGCAATTCTACTTATTGGTATATAGCTAAAAGAACTGAAAACAGGGACTTAGTGATATTTGTATACCAATGTTCAGAACAGCATATTCATAGCAGCCAAATGGTGGAAACAACTCAAAGCTCAGCCCTAGAAGAATAACTAAACAAAATATGGTCTGTGCATATAATGGAACATCATTCAGCTTTTTTAAAAAATATTTTTTAGTTGTAGATGAACACAATATCTTTATTTATTTATTTTTATGTGGTGCTGTGGCTCACGTGTTAGAGGCAAGCGCTTTACTATTGAGCCACAACTCCAACCCCATCATTCAGCTTTTTAAAAGGAATAAAATCCTTCATGTCACACCAGTCAGAATGGCAATAATCAAGAATACAGACAACAATAAGTGTTAGCGAGGATGTGGGGGAGAAGGCACACTCATACATTGCTAGTAGGACTGCAAACTGGTGCAACCAATCTGGAAAGCAGTATGGAGATTCCTTAGAAAACTTGGAATGGAACCGCCATTTGACCCAGCTATCCCACTCCTCAGTCTATACCGAAAGGACTTAAAATCAGCTTACTATAGTAATGCAGCCACATCAATGTTTATAGCAGCTCAATTCACATTAGCTAAATTGTGGAACCAACCTAGGTGTCCTTCAATAGATGAATGGATAAAGAAACTATGGTTATTTTTATCCAATGGGATATTACTCATCATTAAAAGAGAATAAAATTATGGCATTTGCAGGTAAATGGATGGTGTTGGAGAATATCATGCTAAGCAAAGTAATCCAATCCCCAATAACCAAAGGCCGAATGCTCTCTCTGATAAGTGGATGTTGAACCATAATGGGGGAGGGGGTGGCATGGAGAAAATGGAAGAACTTTGATTGGGCAAAGGGGAGGGTGGAGTGGGGATGGGGCATAAGGGCAGGAAAGATGGTGGAATGAGATGGACATCATTACCCTAGGTACATGTATGACTGCACATATGGTGTGATGCTACATCATGTACAACCAGAAAAATGAAAAGTTCTGCAGCAATTGTGTACAATGAATCAAAATGCATTCTGTCATACATACCTAATTAAGATAAATAAATAAATAAATTAAAAATTTAAACAAAGGAATAAAATCCTGATACATGTTATAGCCTGGATGAACTTTCATGCTAAGTGAAAAAAAACACACCAGAAACAAAAGGACAAATATTGTATGATTCTACTTACATGAGGCACCTAGGAGAGTCAATTTCACAGAGACTAAAAAGGGTCTAGGAATGGAGTGATGAGGAGTTATTTTTTAGTAGGTACAGAATTTCATTTTGAAAGAATGAAAAAGTTCTAGAGATCGATGTAAAAGTAAATGTAACTTAATGCCACTGAATTATAAACTTAAAAATGGTTAAAATCACAAATTCTATGTATACTTTACCACTATTAAAAAAAAGAATATAGAGAGACCCCATGTATTTTTTTACTATTTTCTCCAATGGTAGGTAACATCTTACAAAACTATACAACACAATATGCTAACATCAAATCTTATCCAGATTTACTCTGATTTTATGTGTATTCATTTGTGTGGTTTTTACATTTGTGAATGGTTGAAAGCAATAAAAGGAATATTTTGGTGATATCTGAAAATAATAGGAAGTTCAAATTCCAGTATTCATAAATGAAGTTTGGAGAATGGCCACACTCATTCATTGATGTATTATTGATGGCTACTTTTGTGTTGCAGTGAGAGAATAAAGTAGTTGTGATAGAGATTGTATGGCCTGCAAAGCATGAAATATTTATCATCTAGCCCTTTATAAAAAGTTTGTCGACTTTTGTTCCAGAGTAAATTCAGCTGCCAAGAAAGGGGTCATAAGTATAAAAAAAAAACCTTAGGGGAAATGACTGGATAAAGTTTAACCTTAGGCAAATGAATCATAGTGAAAATGGCAAATTGTGGAGAGTGATATTTATATAACTCAAGTCAAAGCTAATTGGCCTTTTTGGGAACCTTAACTGTTTCTAAGGTATACATTCTTAGCTCGTTCTACCAGGATGAGTGTGGAGTATTTTTCTTTTGTTTCTCTTGCTTTTGGTCATTGTACCAGCAGATATGCTTTTGGTGTATGTAACAGAAAATGCAAATGAATAGTTTCAATGTAGAAATTTGTATTAACTCTCATTATCATGTTAGAAGAAAGGAAGCTCTTGCATTGATTAATCAATGGCTCAATGATGTAAGGCAGGACCCACATATTTTCTACTCTTCTGTTTTGCCATTTCTGCCTGCTCTGAGGCTCACCCTCTCATGTTCTAAACATACCTGCACTGGCTCCTCAGGTTCCAAGATGTGAAGAGGTGAAGAGGCCTATGTTTTCCTCATGTTCCATCAAACACGATGTGATGAAGACTCTTGCAGAAGTGTCCTAGCAGATTCCCTCTCTGGGTTGCTTCACATGTCTCTTATAGCCTGGTAAGGGCAGGTAGAATACCATGAATGGTCTAGATGAATCAAGATTCATCACCAGATGGGAAAGGGGCTGATGTTTCTGAAATACACAGTCATATAATACTGAGCAAAACTGAAGATTTGTTAGCAAAATTTTCTTTGTGGGAGAAGGAAAGGAAGAAATAAATAGTGTCTGTCTTGGTCACAATTTGATGTCTGCAATCTCAGTTGTGGAGTTCACCAGTTTCACTAAGTACAGTGTCTAATAGTGAAGCAAATATATCCCTTAATGAGGAAACCTAAATGACTTGATTTCCCTTTCTTTATTCCTCCTCCCTTTTTTCCTCTAAAAACTAACAGTCAACTTGGTCTCTCCTCTACGGGCATAAGAGATGGAGAAAGAAGGCCTCAGATTTTGTGAGACTTTGTTCAGTGCTATGGTCTGAATGTATGTGTCCCTTACTCCCAAGTAAATATGTGAAAATCCTAACTCCCTTTCTGGGCATGGTGATGCACACCTACAATCCCAATTACTTAGGAAGAGAAGGCAGGAGAATTGCCAGTTCGAAGCCAGTCTGGGAAACAGAGACGCTGTCTCCAAAAAGACAGAGATCTTTTAGATAAAGATGCTGTCTCCAAAGAGAGAGAGAGAAAAAGAAATTCCATCTATGGAGCCTTTTGGGAGACGACTAGGTCACGAGGTCACAGGGGTGGAGCCTTCATAAATGAGATTCCTTCCTTTATAAAAAGGGCATCCTATGGATGACTGCCTTGTCCTTCCACCACGTGAAGACACAGTGAGGAGGTGCCATTTTAATGAAACTGGAAATAGGCCCTCACTAGACACTGAATCTATTGGTAGCTTCATCTTGGGCTTCCCAGCCTCCAGAACTAGGAGTAATAAATGTTTTTATAAATTATTCAATCTAATCTATGGTATTTAGTTACAGCAGCCTGAAAAGAGTATCATTCTAATCATCAATACAGATCCATTTGTGCCAACAATCAACACAGCAATAATACTAAGTGAACACATATTATGTATGTGTCAGGTTCTGGGGATATAGCAGTTAAACAAAATAGACCCACAATGGATCTTACATTGTAGCAAGCAGATTGAGTGCACTTAATTCTAAAGTGTCCATTTAGTATCCTCTTCAGTCTGGGTCTTAACATATATTTGAATGTTGATTTTCCTTTCTTAGGTAACATAACTCAGTATTAGTCATCTCAATTTGTGGGTGGAAATAAAACACTCAGATCAATCTGATGCATACAGAATCTCAAGTTTACCCACAACCAACCTACCTCTTCTTTTTAGGAATAGGAGAAAAAATCTGAGAAAGGCACCCCTAATTGAAATAGAAAAAAAGAATCAACAATATCAATGAGAGGGTTTCTAGCAGAGTGAAGTTGGGTGGGATTGGGGGTGATGCCATAAGAGTGAAGTCTGGGGGCTGAACACTTCCATAAACAGGGAGGTTGGGGCAAAAGTACATCCGAACTAGAAATTCTGGAGTAATGATAAAACTCTTCTCACTCTGATTTGGATCTGAAATCATGAGCAATGAGAAGTTTGAGATCTAAGGTTAGATCTATTCTGAAGACGACTGACCTGGCCAGAGTTAATCCCAAGGACCCCTTTCCCTTCTAGACAGCTGTGCTCCCTGCTTCTGGCCACCCCAGCACTTCAGTCCTTACCTGCTTCCTCTAGGAGACCTAGTGTGCCCACAAGATGGCTCAAGCCTCATCCAGGGAGGTTGGGGCTCCCCTCCCCCAGTCAGTTCTCTTTCCTTCCTAAATGATCTGTGATGCCATTTTTAGAGCCAGGATGCCTCCAACTCTCTTCCAGGCACCCGAGGACCTTCTCTGAAACTTCTTTTGTATGCCTCTGCCCCTGAGCAAGTGGAATGGATATCCTGAATAGATCTTGGACTTAGTAAGTGCTCTTAGAGCATAGGGGTCTTATTAGGAATGTGTGTGTGTGGGAGGGTGTGTGTGTGTGCAGTAGATTCTGGGCATGGCAAAGATTGTTTAGAAACAGTCACCATTATCAATGTTCCCAAGGTTAGGTGACAGAATCCTGGGATACGGAAGGCATGGTTGACTCCCTTGGTGAGCCAGCAGCACTTGAGTGTGAAGAGGTGGGAAGGAAGGAAGCTCCTCATAACTCACTTCAAAATCTTATTATTTTGGTCTGGTCAGTAAAGATTTTTATTTTATTTATTTATTTTTGCTACAAATCCATATATCCATGCTAAAACTATAATCAGAATTCTTTTGAAAGAATGGTTTATTAATTCACATCTCTAATCCTCTCTCCAGAAAGAAAATACAAAATACAACACTAAGTGAGTAATGATTAGAAACAAAGGAAGAAAGACAACCTAAAATGGAGTCAGGAGTCTATCTACACCATAGTTACTAGGCATAAAGCCTGGTGTGGTGGTGTACTCCTGTAATCCTAGCTACTCAGGTGGCTGAGTCAGGAGGATTCCAAGCTCCAGGCCAGCCTCAGCAACTTAGCAAGACCCTGTCTTGAAATAAAAACAAAAAGTGCGGGAAATGTAGCTCAGTAGTAAAATGCTCCTGGGTTAAATCCCAAGTATCACAAGAAAAAATAATTACAAGGCATGACCCATTGGCAGATTTAGCTTTGGGTTTACCAGCAGGCAGCTCAAAATGGGAACAGTGACTACTTATATAGTTCACATAGTCAATAAGATAAAAAGGTCAGTGGCCCCAAAGAAGTACAGCCATTCCTGGAATTAGGGTCAGAAAAATTCTCTGGAAAGAGCTCCAGAAAAAGACAGGGTGAAATGTTGAACAATGTGCTCCATCATATCCTTAGCGGAAGTCTAGCGATAAGCTCTTCCTAACAGCATCCTTCAGAAAAGTAATTCTACTCTTGGAATGGTGAAAGAGGTTTCTTTGAAATTTCAGTATGTATTCATAACTTTGAAGAGCCAGAAACATATTGCCAGTTTAGGACATTTCAATATTTCAGTGAGGAAAAAAAAATAGCAGTCTATTTTCTAGTAGAAGGACTAAGTCCTGTCTTCAAAACTCCAGTGCCTTTGCTCTTTTCTCCTATCAACACACACACACACACACACAGACACACACCTCTAAATTTTATTCTATAGCTTAGCTGAATGAAGGAAAGGTTATAATGTAAAATCTATTTTTAAAATGGAACAGGAACAAGAAGCCATCAATTAAGGAAATGAAGAACTGAGACTTGGTAGTAAATTATAATTAAAAAATCATTCATTCTTATATAGTGATGGAGCCAGATTTTGCATGAGTCCTGAAGCTTATATAATTTTGGGTGCTGTTTAAGGAAAAGAATGTAAAATTATGAATATAAAAATTGGTATGACTCAGAATTAAAAGAGAATAAAATCATGGCATTTGCAGGTCAGTGGATGGAGTTGGAGAATATCATGCTAAGTAAAATAAGCCAGTCCCCCAAAACCAAAGGCCAAATGCTTTCTCTGGTATGTGGATGCTGATCCAAAATGTGGGGATGGAATATGGGAGGAGTGGAGGCACTTTATATAAGGCAAAGGGGAGGGAGGGGAAGGGAGGGACATGGGGGTAGGAGAGATGGTGGAATGAGATAGACATCATTACCCTAAGTACATGTATGAAGACATGAATGGTGTGACTCTACTTTGTGAAAAACCAGAGACATGAAAAATGTGCTCTATATGTGTACTTACTACGGATTGAAATGCATTCTGCTGTCATGTATAACACATTAGAATAAATAAATATATTTAAAAAAATTGGTATGAGGCTGGGGCTGTGGCTCAGCGGTAGAGCACTTGCCTTGCACGTGTGAGACCCTGGGTTCGATCCTCAGCACCACACAAAAATAAATAAGTGAAATAAAGGTATTGTGTCCAACTCAACTAAAAAATAAATGTTTTTTAAAAAATTGGTATGAAAATAAGTATATAGAAAGAAAAAATGAATCATAGTAAGTTCTTAGAATAGGGCTGAAGGTATGGCATAGTTGGTCCAGTGCTTGCCTAGTATGTGCAAGGCCCTGGGTTTGATTCCTAGCACTGATGAAAAAAAAAATTACTAAATCCTTGGAGATCCATGTCCTTTTCTTCTGAGATTAGGCAATTTACCAAAAATTCTTACATAGAAACAATTCCTGAATGTATCCTATCTTCTATTTCCCACCAGCAGCTAACCCCAGCACTCTCAGGAGAAGAATAAACCTATTTTACTGATGATGCAAACTTTGAACTGCTCTTGACAAGACTAGACACAAATCAATTCCTCCATTTCTTTGGAAATCACTTCATATTCATCTGAAAGAAATAATATCTTCCAGCTTTGTTTTTACATACAAAGTGATAATGTGCCTTTTCTTAGCAGCAGAGCTCTAAAAATGGGTATCCTTGGCTATTGTGCAAGAGACTTTCCAGAGAAGTATCTTGGGGCCAAACAGGAGGAATGTAAGATTTGCTCTGCTCTGTGAGGCAAACAGCAAGTTGGGAAAGTCTGTTATCTCTGAATGCATTTTCTGTACCATCTTGTCATCTATTGAAATTGCATGAAAAGCTATACTCAGGTTTTCATTGACCAGTTATGAGAATTTTATTTTATTTTTGGTGCTGGGAATTGATCTCCTGGGTACTCAACCACTGAGTCATATCCCCAGCCCACTTTTTGTATTTTATTTAGAGACAGTCTTGCTGAGTTGCTTAGGGCCTCACTAAGTTTCTGACGCTAGCTTTGAACTTGTGATCCAGCTATGAGAATTTTGACTTCAACCTTGTAACTAGTAAGTTGAAAGTAGAAATGCCAATTGAAAAAACCATCTCTGACCTGAAAAGTAAATTAGGATAGGATCTATCCCGAAACAAAATCGGAAGTGTGTAGATTTCACTTAATTAGTTTCCTCTTCACTTCTTGTAGTTTTACCCTGAAATTGAAGCAATGTTAGCATGTTTGTCACACAATAGGTTTTCTATAGTAAGAGTAAAAAGTCCCTGGCTGAAGGGAAGCAAGGAACTTCCATGAGTATTGAACACAGAATGTAAAATGATCAGATCTTTTACAAGTGAGACATCAGCTTAACACAGGAAGTCTCCACTGCATCTTGGTACTTCGTAGTAGTAATTAAACTTCCTGTAGCTGATTCACAACAGTGACTTCCCTGGAAGATGGTGTGTGCTGGGTCACCAGTCACTGTGAGTGCCCAGGGGAAAGCGGCTCTGAGCCAAGGCAGGAAAGCAAGCCTGGGATCCTCGGGGCTGATTATTTAACCTCTGATCTATGGGTCTCTGGAGAAACTGGGGAAGCATTTTAGAGCTGCCATTTCTGCTTAGGAAGGCTCAGAGCTGCCACGAGAATATATCAAGCAGATCCACTTTTTTTTTTTTTTTTTGATAGGAAACTGTACAGGGAGGAAATGGGGAGCAACACTTATAAAGGGACAAGAGGAGCTGGGCATGGTGGTGCATGCCTGTGATCCCAGAGACTTGGAAACTAAGGCAGGAGGATTGCCTGGAACTTAGCATGAGCCTATATCAAAATAAAATGAAAAAGGGCTGCAGATGTAGCTCAGAGGCAGAGCGACCCTGGGTTCAGTCCTCACTGTGTGGGTGGGTGGAGGGAGTTGGGAGGCACTGAGGGAAGAGGCCTCATGCACTCTGCAGCTGGAGCTGAAGTGTGAACTTCTGCCACCCTCACCCTTTGACTGCAGCATCTGGAACAACCAGATAATTATATTGTGATGCATATCAAGGTTATTGGACTCTTGTTTTTTTTTATGAACATGTCCATTCTGTTTATACATTCTTTTCTTTATCTGCTGTCAGTCTCTAGCCCCTGTTTTTTCTCAACATTTCAATTGATGTTTCCTACAGAGAAATTTTATCCACTCTGTGATAAATCGTGCTGCCTACTGATTTATGCTTCCACTTTCCTTGCCTTGTTTGGAACATGGATTCAGATCCATCTGCAGCTGTGTCTCCTGAATTACAGTTCCAAATAATGTTCTTTACTTTTATGGTTTCTGAGTTTGAATTGCTCAACAGCTAGCATAGTCTCAAAGAGGACTGATCTGGGTAAAAACATAAACAATATATTAAATTTAAAAGTAAATATAAATTTGATATTTTAAGGCATTTCTCTTAACAGTTAAATAGCTAAAGAAACAAATAGGAATCCTGGGATTGCTTAAATGCCTACAGAAGAAAAATTATAATCGAGTAATCTAAACAGAGGGTGTTAAAATTACTTGAAGTACTTGAAAACAATTTGTTTCCACAAGATATCTAAACAATTTTAGGATTTGTTTTGAAAATCTTATTTTTTTCAAAATATGCATTGGCAGGTTTGGTTTGAAATTACTATGTACTGTTTAGCAAAGTGCGAAAGAATATAGTTTTGTTCCATAATAATATAATAACTGTTCCCATTTATTTTATATTTTATATTTACTATGAATCAGACTTTGCACAGATTGTTTCTTTTCTTTCTTTCTTGTTCCTCTTTCTTTGTCCTGTATTGAGGATTGAGTCCAGGGGCATTCTGCCACAGAGTTACATCTTGTTTTTATTTTATTTTGAGGCAGGTCTTATTACTAAAACCTGGTCCTTGGTCCTGATGCCAACCCAATAACAAGGACAAGGTTTGAGAAAAAGGAAAAAGAAGTTTTTATTGCTTTGCTAGCAAAGAAGAAACAGAGACTTGTGATTCTCCCTATCAGGGGAACACAGGGTTTTTAAAGAGGTGATCCAAAGGAATCCTGTTTCCCTCAATATTAGGGAGGAGAGATCAGGGAGGAGTGATTAGGGAAGGAGAGGAAGAAGAGAAAAAAAAAAATATTTCTCTTTTAGAGCAGCAAGGGTTATATTCAAATTATGAAGTGGACCCCTGTTACACTTTCCCACTGTCAATTTCTACTTTCCATTCTATGGAAAAATGGGCAATGTACATCTCCAAGCTGCTTCCTGCTGAGAGAAGGAGGAATTGGGAGTAAGTGAACAGAAGTTCTGTTCTCTAGCAATTGGGCATGGACAATTAAGGGTTTTTAGCGTCAAGGATGTCCAGAGGTCCTTAGTGTCAGTTGGTGGGTGATTGGACAAGGGATATATAGGGCAGGGATCATGCTAGGACAACAATAAG